TTTATTCTCTGAGAGGCAACATGGTGCATTAGAATGTTCTAGAATAGAAGTGTAAGGGGCCTTGCTTCCCTATGTCATTAATTCCTCTGTGACCTTGAAAAATCTCCCCTTTCTTGATGACCCCTTTCCAGCAATACCATGGGATTCTGAGCCTGGGGTAGCTATGGCTTTTAAAAAGGCGTACATTTTAAATGAGAGTTGTCTTATTCCCTCCCCCTCCCCCGTGTTTAGATATGTGTTTTGTCTTGGCTTTTTAAAATAAATATTGACAATTTGTTAGCTTTTCCCTTATAGAAACCTCTCCAGAAAACAAACAAACAAAAAGCTTCTTTTTTTTCCACAGAGAAAGATGAACACAAAAGAAATTCTATAAATAGGATTTTATGGAGTAAAAAAAGTTGGATCCTAAATTTCCCATGAGATGTCAGTACTTGTTAAGAGGAAATGGGGATGATCATTTCAAATCTTCCTATGCTTGGCTCCTAATGAACTTGAATGATTTGTGATTTTCTCCAATCGTATGTACCCAGATTCTTTGGCTTCTGAAAAATAAAAACAGACCCCCAACCAAACAAAAATAAATCATTTCTTCAAACTGGTTCTAATCAAAGAGGAGGGAGGCAAACTGCCACTTCCCGGTGTGTACCAGGCCCTGAGTAGTCCTTAAAAGGGTCCGCAGTGGTGAGTCTCCTCGCTATACCTGCAAGGAAGGCTCCCCCCCATTCCTTTCTCAAGGTCACACAGCAAAGCCAAGATTCAAACTCACGGACCTTTGACTCTGAAGCTCCTGTTTTCCAAGGTCATTTCTAGCCTATCCTTCCCAGGAATTTTTCTGGCTTCTCCTGCAACCATTTTTCCTGTATTTCTCTTCCACTGAAGAATTTCTCCTTCTGCTCATGAGTCATTTAAAGAACTGCATCCCAGGACATAAGGGAAAACCGTTCTCCATGATTAGGGGCTTCTCGGCCTTTGCGTTTTCACCCTGCGCTCTGAGATCACCTCTCCCTTCTGATGGTGGTGTCCATCCATCTCTGCCCTGCTCACTGGGCCCACAATACTCACCTGTAGGTAGGAGCAAAGCCCAAATTCTGTAATTGAGTCGATGGGTGGATTGAAAAGTCATTCCAAAGTCTTGACATCTTTCCCTTAAAGTCATTCCCTGTTTGAGTCCATTCTTTAGTGACCAGAGGACCTGTCTCTATGGGACTTTGGTTGTCTTCTCCCTACTACCCCCACCTTCTGTCTCAGAGCTCCCCAGCAGGAGTGCGCTGGAGACTCCAGCCCTCTGGTCCCTGGCTGGGCTACCTCCCCGCAGCACCCAAACCCACTATTAGATCCTCTAAGGAAACCTCACCATCTTGGGCGGATTCTGTCCCTTCTCCTGTACCTCAGCTTACCTTCACAGAGATGGGATCAGGAATACCCGCCTCATAGAATGAGTGTAGACTCCAAGAGCTCACAGGCAGGAAAGGGGCTGACACACAGACGGTGCCTCCAGAACCAAAATTCCCTTACAGCATTCCCTGGCTACTGCAGCCAGCCTGGACCCCTCCTTCCGCCGTCCTGGCTGCAATGTTGCAATCAACTGTGTTTGCAGGCATCCCTGAGAGGGGATGAGTTACCTTGGAAGCTAAAGGTTTGACACTTCTATTTTCTTCCTGTCAGAAAAAAATAACTATATACAGTGGTCAGTTTAGTTTCCCTTTTTATACTCCATTAACCCCCAGAGCAAACCTGGCAGTCTCCTGTCCTGAGTCAGAGAGAAGAGCCCAGAGGACATGGATATGATAATTGGGGACGACCTGTGGCCCTTTCCTAATGAAGCTTTGGAAATTAGCAGAGCAGTTTGTTATATTACCCCGGGAGAGACTGGAACCTCCGCCCTTGCAGAACCCAATAGAGATAGCCATCTCGGTGACAGGTGACGTGAAAAGCTCCGCGTCCACTGACATGTTGTTACTGGGGCTCAATAACTGCGCTCTGATGTGCTTTGAAGTCTGCTGCGGTGACTTGTGATTGAAATACGGAGTGGGAGCCTGGGAGGAAGCAGGATGTGAATTGATGGCCTTGGAAATGTGACATGTGGGAAGAGAGGAAGGGACGAAGCAGGCAAGCGAGGGTGCCAGTGCATAGGAGCACAAGGCTCCCCCGGGCACTATCCTGGGCATGCTCCCAGCCACCACTGTGGGAGGTGGGGTTGGTTTGGAGACCAACCCCTGGATGCCCAGTGCTGCTTGCCAGTCATCTCCCCCATGTGACTTCCTAAGGGAGCTGTTCACACGGGCATGAAGACAAATGCGAGCTCAGAGGAGCACTTTATCATTAGCTGGAGCAACGGACGGGGATGCATTTGAAAAGTTGAAAGCAGCATTGATTGTGGCTCAGCCAACCCAACCAGAGCCCAGAATTTGGCTCCCAGGATCCTGGGCTAATCCAGCTTTTCTGGGGCATGATCCTGTCCAGCAGCGTGGTACACTGGTCAAGCCAGGGGCTGCCTCTGGTCTGGACAGAGAACAAGGGCCCTCTGACCCAGATTCTTAGACCTGCAAGTTCCATTGCTCCAGAGTGGGCAGGGTCACCCCCTGAAAGGTCAGCCTCACGTGGCCTGCCGGACCAGGGGGTTCTGGCTCTAGGAGAGGAAAAGGGAAAGGGGGAGAGACATCAAGAAGGCAACTAACGGTGCTGTGGCCTGCTGGTGCCAGCCACTCCCTCCCCATAGCCACGTGGGCAGGTATTATGATCTTTATTTTAGAGACCAGGAAACGAAGGTACCAGGGAGGGTTAGGGAAATTGCCCACAGTTAGGCAGCTAGAAAAGGCAGCAGAGCTAGGATTTAAATCCTGATCGCCTGATGCCCAAGCCGTGCTCCTTTCAGTAGGCCAAGCTGTGCCCCCCATTTCCAGATTCCCAAAAAGTTGGAGGAAGGAGGATTATAAACTCCCCTTCTGTGGCTGAGGCAGGGAGCGCCACTGCTGACACCAGACCAGAAACCTGGTTATACTCTGGCTTCCCTGAACCTGAACCAAGGAACAACTGGGAGCTGAAGGCGCCCTCCTGACCTTTCCCGATGGCTCCCCGTGAGCATGGAGCATCAGGGGGGCTCTGGCTATGTCTGTGCCGCGTGGGCTCCACACGGGGGCTGTGCCACTCTGCTCCATCAATCTGGGGCTTAGTGTGGCTGATTCAAGGCTTCTGTAAAATCTTCTGGGGACATATTAAGATGGGCCAAGTACAGAAACGTTGAGCCCCTGTCTGGAGATTTGGCCTCGGGGACTCATCGGGTGAGGACCCAGCAGGGAACTGCTTCTGGACCACAGCGATGGCTTCAGCCTGTGCCAGTGACGTGCTGTCATCACTGGGTCATCTGAGCGTGACACAGGCAGCCGCCTGGACACCAGCAGGAGGGGGCAGTGACGCACGCCCAAGGACTAATCGATAGGAAGATGGAGACACAGGCACAGAGCTATTTTTTGAAACGTGGCCTTCCGTTCCCCTTTCAGAGCAGCAGCAGCCTACGTGGCGTGTAAGGTCAGCATGACACGGTGATTGTAACAAAGCCTGCCCGTTTCAAAGGCGAGGGAGTTGAAATGGTTTACACAGGGCCGAACGTTTGCCAGTGGCAGAGCCCGGAGTCCGCTCGAGACTTGCCATCCTGATGTCCTTGCTCTTTCCAGCCCATTAGCCCCCAACTAACCCAGTGGCTGCACTTAGAGGAGCCCACAACCTCCAGCCCCAGCTTCCATTCCGGTCTTCTCTGCCCCTGCCCCCCACCCTTCGTCACTGGCTCCAGACACAGAACACCCCTGAGCAAAGACATCATCAGCTCAGTCAGTTTGAGTAGCCATCAAAAAATGACCGTAGACTGGGTGGTGTGAACAACAAGAATTGACTCCTCACAGTCTGGAGGCTGAGCAGTCAAGGTCAGGGTGCTGGCAGACAGCAAGAATATATGAAAAAATGCCACATATTTAGCAATCAGGGAAATGCAAATCCAAACACACTGAGATTTCATCTTGCTCCAATTAAAATGGCAGTCATCAAGAATACAAATAATCGATGCTGGTGAGGAGGCACGGATGAAGGGACAACTACACACTGTCAGGATTGGAAACTAGCGCAACCACTATGGAGATCAATATGGAGGCTCCTCAAAAGACTAGGCAGGGAACCACCATATGATCCAGCCGTACCACCCCTCAGTATTTATGCAAAAGAACTAAAGTCAGCATACTGCAGCGATATGCGCCTAGCCGTGTTTATAGCAGCACAATTCACAGTAGCCAACTTAGGGAGCCAGCCTCAGTGCCCATCAACAGATGAATGGGTAAAGAATGTGTGGAATATACACACAGTGGAGTTTTGCTCAGCCATAAAGAATGAAAATGTGTCATTTGCAAGAAAATGGATGGAGCTGGAGAATGCTAAATGAAATCAGAAAGTCGAGGGTCATGTTTTCTTTCACTTGTGGAACAGAGAGAGAAAAACGGGGATGAAAGGGGATCTCAGACAATAGAAGGGAGACCAGTGTACTAGAAGAAGGGGCTCAGGGAAGGAAGGAGGGGGGACAAGAAGGTACTGGAGAATGAAATTGACCAAATGACACTATGTGCGTGTACAAACGTTTCACAGTGAATCCCACTATTATGTAATAATAATTCACCAGTAAATTTTTTTTAATGGTACCTGCAGATGGGTGTCTGATGTGAGTCTGGTTTCCGGCTTACAAATGGCTGCTTGCCCTCGGATCCTCATCTGAGGGAGCAAGTTCTCTCAGGTCTCTTCTTACAGGGACACTAGTCTCATCCACAAGGCTCCACCCTTGTGACCTAATCAGACCCCAAAGGTCCCACTTCCTAATACCACCATGCTGGAGTGATAGGATTTCAACCTACGTATCTTGGGGGGGGACACAAATATTCAGTCCACAACAGGCTTGGAGGAAACGAGGGCGGGTGGGTTTCAGCCTGGCGATAACGCGTCTGCTCTCCCGTCTCTGGCAGGAACTGCAAGCTCAGCAGCAGCAGCTTGTCCATGGCTGCCGTGGATATTCTGTACATTGACATCACGAGGAGGTGGAACTCCATGACCCTGGACCAGCGGGACTCAGGTACCTGATGATCCTTCACCCCCTCCTTGTGGAGTGCCCACAGATACAGAGGGACACGCGCCTTTCGTCTCTTCTCATTAAGGGGGAAGGAGGGAGATGACCGACCCCCTCTAGATATCACTCCAGGAATGGAGCCAAATTTAAGTTCCAGGGCGCTGTTCGCTACCAAGGCTGTGGCATGCGCCCCCACCCACCCGTTCTGGTTCTGTCATTAGCGTTCCTTGCCTTTGCATAAGGCTTCACACCAGCTGTGTGAGGGCTGCTCGGCACACACTCGGGGAGCATGGGCTGCCAGGCCCCGGGGAGACTGGAGAGGAGGGCAGTTGGTTCCTGCCAGGAAGGAGCTCACTGCAGAGGTGGCAGGCTGATGAGAAAACGAAGCTGGCATATTGGACATGGGCTGGGATGGAGAGAAGACCAGAGAGGGTATGAGGAAGCTCCTCATCCAGGGAGGGCCAAGGGAGGCCTCTTAGAGGCTGTGCAGGATGAGCCAGTGTGCGGGGTTGGGACGGACACTTTGGCAGGGGTGTTCCAGCCTGAGCATGGACACACAGGAGAGGCCACTGAGCTCAGGCCACTCCAACCAGCTCAGATGGGATGGAGCAAAAAGGGAAGAGAGAAGACGTGGAGATGGGGTGGTGGGAAACCTTGAATGTCACACCCAAGAATCCGCCCTTGACCCTCTGTGCCGTGTGGTAAAGGACTCTATAGGAGAATCCACCTTTCGGTGGACAAGCTTCTGATCTTTCCCTTCATAGAAGGTGTTCTTCTAAAAAGGTTCAATGACCGTCACTGATGTTTGTACAGCTCATCACAAAACTGCAAAGTCTTTTCATGCACATTCCTCATTAAGTGTCCCTGTGACCCAGTGCAGAAGGCATTATGAGCCTCATTTCACAGATGAGTAAACCACAGTTCAGGTGACCGAGATCACATGGTGACTATGAGCTAGCAGCCCCCTGGCACCATGCCCCTCCTCCATCCACTGGCCTCCCTGAGAAAGAGGGGCACAGAGGAAGGTTGAGAGATCCAGATTGGATGTGACCATGCCATCTCCTGCCAACAAAGTCATTTTACCTCCTAGTTTCAAGTTCTTGACTGTAAAATGGCACCAACAATGCCTGCCCTCAGGAGTTGCCCTGAGGTCTCATGTGACTAGGAAAGCATTGGGGGTTATCACTGACCAGGCAAAGCAGTTGATCTCATTAGTAGACACTACATGGAGAGAATCCTAGGAAAGAACTGTCCGGCAGCTGGTGCTGACCTACACCCATGTGGGCCAGAAACTTCCAGACCCCAGCAATGCAGTCCTCCCTTCAGGGTTCTGGTGCTCGGAAGTCATTTTCTACTTGCCTTCGTGTTTGGTAATGATGCTACCAGTGCCAGTCATTGGCCATCTCCCACATGCCAAACACTGTCAGTTACTTTACATGGGTGGCCTGGGCTAGAGTTCTCCTGAAGGTAGGTCTAATTGTGTCCATTGCACAGAGAAAGAAACTGAGGCTCAGGGGCATGGCTACTGGATAAAACTCAAACACCTGGTCACCTGGGCTTCCTTTCAGGGTCACTTCTTCCTACTAATTTGTCCTTGAGTAAGATGACCTCAGAGTTCTCTGCTGCTCCCATTTCTTTAATTCAAAAGCAAAAGTCAGGGCATACCAAGAGTCATGGGTTCACAAGGTGAGTGCTCCCTCTGCATCTCTTCAGGTCATCCCCCTTGCAGCCTCCCCTGGTAACCAGGAGAGGCAGGAGATGAGCAGCCTGCAGGAGAAGTAGGCAGATTAATTATCATTTCGAGGACCAAGTGGGCTCATGTGACAGTAGAGCAGCGTCACTTTTTGCTGACGCCCTCAGAAAGTGAAGAAGTATTGCTCTGTGGGCTGAATGTGGGGTGTCATCACAGGATCCCATGGAGGGGGCCAGATGAGGGGGTGGGGTGGCATTGGAATTATTAAATATTGAAATTGATCAGGAGTAGCAGCAGGAAGCTATTTATCATGTTTTATTGCTTCAAACTAGCATTACCATCTGGACCATTGTTAATTCCAAGTAGCTTTTCATGTTTTGTTTGCCTCTTAAATTGCTCCGTGTACGTGGAATCCGAGGGACCTGGACTTCTGGGATCTGCCAGAGTCTCTCCACTCTGCTGACCAAGCTAAGGAAATGAGAAAAATTCTTATTTTTAGCAAGAGTGAATCCAGGGCTGGGATCTACCAGGCCTTTTGCATCCCTTGGCCCCTGAATGTGTGAAGTAATAATCTTTGGTCATAATGACACATTTGAGATCACTGCATATGCATTTATATCGCTGCTAATCCTCACACCAGGCTCTGAGATGAGTAATGGTACCCATTTACAGATGAGGATCCTGAGTTTCCAAGAGCAAAAGTTTAGCTTGTCTACAATCTCGTAGCCAGTGAGTAGCAAAGGAAAGATTGGAACTCAAGCATCCTGCCTCCTGGTCTCGAGTGCTGTCCCCAGTCTAGGGCCACAACAGATTTTTTACTTGTTCGCCTGTGTGACTGGGGAGGGGACACAGGGACAAGGAGGCAAATGAACGATAATCTTTTGTATAATTTAAAGAGCAGGAAGAGAATTTTGAATGTTCCCACAACAAAGACACAGTGAATGTTTAAGGTGATGAATATGCTAATTGCCCTAATTTGATGATTACCCAGTGTGTACATGTACGGAAACATCACAGTGTACCCCATAAATATGTGCGAATATTATTATGTGTCAATAGATTACTTTCTTTTAAAAGTCAGCTCTCTCCCAGCACAGGGCCTGCCGGGAAGATGGAACTGGAGTGTGTGGGGTGCCACGTCCACGCTCCTGTCTCCCTTTCCTTTGTCCTCAAAGCTTGCATCCTATTTCTGTTGCTACTGAAGAGAAGAAATGGCAGGGTTGGGGTGGGGGCGCTAAGCAGTAGGCTGGCAATACAGCTAGCAGCAGACTCTCCGCGTCCTCGGTTGCAGGGACCCTACTGTCTGGTCCCTGGTGCTGGCCAGGGTACTTTCTTTCTGCCTTCTCGAGGCTGCTCCACCTCCCCCGACCCCCAGGAAGAAGGAGCATCTGCAGCCAGTCACCATCCTGGGACCATTCAGGAAGCTCCTGTAGAGCGATAGAAATCTGTGGTTCAGTAGTGGCTCTGGTTTCTGGCAAGAGAACGATTGTGTGGGAGAGTGGAGGGCTCTTGCTTCCTTAGGCCCTCAGCTCCAGTTCAGTGCTGGCCAGAGGTGTGGGCTCAGAGCTCAGGAGACAGCCTTCCCAGCCCAGAGCTGCTGTGGTTGACAAGAAAAGAAGTCTTTGGGGCTGGGGGTGCGGCTCAGTGGTAGAGTGTGCTTAGCATGCAGGAGGCCGTGGGTTCCATCCCCAACACCAGCGACAAAGGAAGGAAGTGTTTGAAGAGTAGGGGAACATGGGTCTCATTCTTAAAGGGCATACATTCCTTCATTCATTCAACAAACAGGTAATGAACGTGTCAGCTGGTATTGGGCCCTGTGGAGACATAAATGACTTACAGATCCTAGTGTGTTAAGAAAATAATTCTAATAGAGACCATTTACTGGACATTTACTATGGGACAGAAGTAAAAAAATGTTTGTTATGAATTATCTCATTTAATTCTCACACAGTCTTCTAAGGATTGTTATCCCAATCAACAGATGAGAAACCCGAGGCTTACCGGAAGGCGAAATTAAAAAGATGTTTGCGACTTGTCAAAGCCTTATAGTGGGGACTCTGGGACTTGACACAAGGTCATTCTGACTGCAGAGCCCCTGTGCCCTTTACCTTATCCCCAGTGTCTCTCAGTTACACAAGTACCCTACACAGTTGATACTCATCCTGTGATATGACCAGAGCTATCAGGGGAAACTTGGGGGCGGGGGGGGGGGGGGGGCAGGGTTGCTATACAAGCACACACACAGAGTCCTTAGCCTGTGTGTCTGTATCCTCGAGGGCCTGGCACTTGTCCTAGAATGGCAAAGCATCCCTCGCAATTGCGGGCAATTGCAATTGTTCAATGAATAGTCAATGCCCAAATAAAAGATGCCCACATCCTCAAAGCAGAGAGTTCCAAGTGTGAGAATAGTGTCAGGGTGACCTTGGTGACAGGGTCTCCCTTCCCACCCCAGTGTAAAATGCCAGCCCATTGGCTGAGGAGTGTCCCCTACTCCCAGTGCGCACACGTCTCCTTTTCCCTGAAGCAGGCCTGGACCTCCTCTGCCCTAATGAGACTGGTGCCCACCAAAGGAGTAAGCCTGTCCCTAACACACAAGACCACCGGGGGCAAAGATGAGGAGACTTGCTATTTTCATGGAGAAGGGAAATGGTGCCTGGGAAAGATCAGTGAGGGAAAAAACAGTGAGAGAAATCGTGCATGTGACAGAATCTAACTCTCAGCCCATTGTTTGAAGCAGACTCATTTTTTATTGTTCGTTTTCCATTGGCCCTCCAGTGGCTAGAACTGCATTAATCATGGTCCTTGGCTCCTGAGATACTTCCAGCATGGCCCATGCACAGCGTGCTCTTCGGTAGTTAGCTTTTTTAATGAGTTGTTTTTAATAATGAAATAAATATCCACAAACTCACCGTGATTGACCATAACCTGCATCTGACATGTGGCTCCCACCCCCACCCCAGCCCATCCCCCACTTCTCCCCATGGAACCCTCATCTGCACCCATGCTCACCTTCCCTAAATAGATTGTCTTCATCCCTCCTAGAACCTTCACCCCCCTAGACCACCCGGGAGCTTCGTGGACCTTAGTCATATGTCTCACTCTCACTCACATGGCAACGCAATTGTCATTTTTTTTTAAATTAAGGATTTTAATTTCTAACTCTAGAATTTCCGAAGAATGCAAAAATCTAAATTTAAGGGTATTATCAGTAAAACTGGGGTGTCATAGCAGTAAAACTGGGGTGTTGTAGCCCTCTCCCGAGCCAAAACCAAATAAGGAAACAAATTTGGTGGTGGAGACACAGTTAGCTCAT